TCCAAATATGGGTCAGTCCACTTACTGTGGTTAGTTCGGGGTCTGTCGTTCCAGGATCTGAAAAGTTTTTGTTAGTTTCATAGCTCACAGAAGTTACTTATTTGCCACTGTCTCTGACATACCCCTTTTAACAAAACAAATGATCTCTCTTTATTTTGTGATAAAAGTATAACAAACTGGGGTAAATGGACCACACAGAATTTCTGGATGACTTGTCCACATCACACATCCCTTACCTCTTTTTGAGAGAGGCCTTGCAAATTAATTGTTGATGACTTTCAAGGTAGTCACGTTTCATATCAACAATGCCAGATTCCAGATTCACCTTTTGTCTAAAATAATATTGAGAAAAAGGAGACGTCAAAGATTGCAGCAACTATTGGTCCATCGCATTAATTTCACACCCGAGTAAAGTGATGCTCAAAATCAAAATCCTGTCTAAGATACATATCCCAAAATAGAGCTGAATGTAGAATATTATCTATCTTTATGTTAAATATTGTTGAAAAATGTTCACATATGGGGAAAAAAATCAATGTGAATTTTTGCAAGCAAATTTACAGCACAGTCCTCCGCACATCTCTGTATCAGAGATAGCAGGGGAAAGATTGAATGAAACCAGCATTTGGTAGGACAGACCACTATTTGAATGGTCTGCAAGCTGAATCCTGGCTTTGTAAGCCGACCGTCATTACAATAAACCCTGGTTTCTCATTATGTCTGAACAGAGCTCGTGTATGATATGCATAATCCGCCTACAAATCCCGGGTCCTTGGAGGTCGCATGCAGTGTGGGTTTTTACTAGTCATTGTGTGAATCTTTGTGCCTACCTTGGCCTATGAGTGCAGCATGATTCTTGCAAATGAGATAACATCTTCTCTGGGAAGAAAGAACCTTCAAATACCCCTGGGTCCAAAGATATGTATTTCCTAAAGTATTTGGTGTTAAGTATGTTTTTGTTAGTTTCATAGCTCACAGAAGTTACTTATTTGCCACTGTCTCTGTCATACCCCTTTTACAAAACAAATGATCTCTCTTTCTTTTGTGATAAAAGCGTAACAAACTGGGGTAAATGGACCACACAGAATTTCTGGATGACTTGTCCACATCACACATCCCTTACCTCTTTTTGAGAGAGGCCTTGCAAATTAATTGTTGATGACTTTCAAGGTAGTCACGTTTCATATCAACAATGCCAGATTCCAGATTCACCTTTTGTCTAAAATAATATTGAGAAAAAGGAGACGTCAAAGATTGCAGCAACTATTGGTCCATCGCATTAATTTCACACCCGAGTAAAGTGATGCTCAAAATCAAAATCCTGTCTAAAATACATATCCCAAAATAGAGCTGAATGTAGAATATTATCTATCTTTATGTTAAATATTGTTGAAAAATGTTCACATATGGGGAAAAAAATCAATGTGAATTTTTGCAAGCAAATTTACAGCACAGTCCTCCGCACAGTTATATCCTTCTAAGCCCACTGATTTCAGTGGATTTGGAATGGTATAACTCTTCCTAAGATTGTATTAGTAAGCTAGGGTTTTTTAAAAGAAGGCTCTCCCTTCTTTCATCTTCCCCCCAAGGTGTTATTCTAATTAATTCAATTAATTGCTGTTCAAAAGTGTGTGTCTTCTTGTAAAACAAGCCTTGTGGTTGTGTACATCTTTTGCATGCCATCGATAGAGGCAGTCAACAAATTCCAAATATTGGGTGGTTTGTTTCTTGATGCAATACGTATCCCGTGTTGGCTGCCTCAGGACCTGACATCAAAACTTTCTATCTCCTTTTCTATAAACCCAGCCAGGTGCTCTGTTCAGAAAGTAAACAGTTCAGCCGCCCTTTTCAAACTTCTGGGCAGTTTATAAAAACCTTAGATGCCTCATCCTCTTTAAAGTTAAACATATCCGACTCAATCTGGCACTGGATTTCTGACGACTGCATGAACTCTTGTGCCTAGGAAAGTATGATGGGACTGCATTGCTGCAGATCTGATTTTTACTGCCTGTTTTGCCCCAACCATTAGTGGTGGTCAGAAGAAGAAGAAGACAATGCTCCAGTCTTTCAGGGGCCAGGCAACCCACTTAGATGCTGTCCTTGTACATGTGATGTAATTGTGCACAGGGAATGTGCCTAACGGTGGAACTGGGTCTGCTAGCTTGTCCTTGGCTTAAAGTTTAGCTAAATGTTGGTGCAAGATGTATGGATGTACAACCTGTATGTAAGTAGATCTCTCCCCATGCCCTGGAACCCTTGAAAAGCATTCTTGGTTGAGGTCAGGAGGTCCACCAGTGGGCACCTGGTATTTTTGGCCACTGTGTGACAGAGTGTTGGACTGGATGGGCCTTTGGCCTGATCCAACATTGGCGTCTCTTATGTTCTTAACCCGTAAGCACTTACTCTCCAGCTACTCAACCAAGAATGCTTTTCAAGGGTTCCAGGGCATGGGGAGAGATCTACTTACATACAGGTTGTACATCCATACATCTTGCACCAACATTTAGCTTGTATGTTCATATGTTGTATGTTCATGTGTTGTGTGCTGATGTTAGTGGCCAAGAGTTGGAGGAGGCCTTCCAGGCCATCTGTTCCGCTTCCCTGTAAAATGCCAAAAGCTAAAAGAGAGCCTCTTGGCTGTACCCAGATGGGATGGCTGGCATAGGACATGATTTGAGGCTGACTGAGCATAAAAGGAGGGCGGGTAGGATCGCCAGCACTGCCTTGGAAAATGCCAGGAGCTTTTGAGGGTGGTGCCTGGGGAGAATGGCATTTGGGAAGGAAGTGATGTCACTTCTGGGTGAAATGCTAGGAATTTCCTATAATGGTAGAGACCATAAAGATGTGGGGAAATTCCTAGAGCATCACTATGGAGGCCATTTTTCCCCCTCCTGCTCCTCCATTTCTCGAGAGCAGGGGATCAGTGCCAAGGGCAGGGGTTTACTTGCTGGAGGTGGGCAAATGGGAGATCTCAAGGCATGGCTAGCAGGCACAATCCCACTCCTCCCTTTTAGTGCATGTTGCATATGCACAGTTATATTGCGTGCAGAGCTCTTGTGTGTCTACGCCGTCCAAGAGAGAGGCCAATTTTAAACACCATGCGGGAGGGCAAAAATGCATCATGTGACATTGTGCACATCCAGCATGTGATGCTGGTGCATCGCCAGCCAGGCTATGGATCCCTGGCGGGCTAACACTGCATGGGTAGCAGTTGAAGGCCCAGTTTGAATGTGATGCTGTGCCATCCCACACAGGTAAGTTCTTCTTGCTGGCCAGCCTTCTTTTAAAATTGGGCCTCTGCCGGAAGTCCTGGTGCTCTGGCGTTGCTTAGCTGCAACCACACAACAAGGCCCCCAGATCATCTCCTTCACTTCTGAGCTTTATGTTGTTTTCCCCCAGAGCCCCAAAGAAGGCTGAAGTCCCTTTGGTGTACCACGTTTATTTATTTATTTGAAACACTTTTATGCTCGATCAGGGTCCACAAGGCTTTCATTTCAGTTTCTGCTTTAACTTGCAAGCATAGGTTTTTGAGTTTCACTGACTAGTCCAGTTTAGAAAGCCAGGAATGTTCTACCAAGTCCCCCAAATATTTCTATATATACAGACCAGAGATCACTCCTCTTTTAAGAGTTATTTTCCTTTTCACCCGGCAGGGATTACTTCTGTTGACTAGGTGCTCTGTCCCTTTCCAGCTTGAATGGGGATCTTCCTTGACCCTCTTACTCCTTTTTGCCTCCGTCCCAGTCCTCAGACAGTGCTAAACAGATCTTCAACTATCAGTTCCCGACTGTCATTTCTTAACTGACGTTCTCCACAGAATTCTGTTTGAACAGCCTGTCACTCAGAGGTTCTCAGACTCAGGCACTAACCCTGGACAGTCTGTCACAAGGACATACTTCCCAAGTGACTACTTTAAACAAGTGATCACCAAGACAAACCTCATTTTAATTACCCCTACTGTTTAAGCTGTGATAAATGGTATTAATTAGGAATATTCCTAACCTCCCAACCCAAAAGAGGGCGTTTTCGTCAGTTTTTTTTCTAAAAAGAGCCCAAAAGAGGATGGACACACACACAAAAAAGAGGACATGCCTTCTAAAAAGAGAACATCTGGTAAGCCTAAATAAAATAACTTTCAAAAGAAAAAGACTTGGGTTACTTGTTCATTTGAAAAGGCATCCTGTTAATCAGAGCTTCTGCCTGCAGTGTTAAAGAGTTACTCTTAGAGTTATTCGTAACCTCCCTGCCCGACATTTTGTGACTGGCTCTGCCTCTTGTGGCAGCCATTTTGTGGTTGCTCCCACTGACTTGTTTAAAAATTCCAAAGGTGCCCACATGCTCAAAAAGGTTGGGAACCCCCCCCCTGCTCTAACCACTACTTGGCACCGATTCAAAACTTATCTTGGAAGGAACCGCAGGGGCTGACAAAGACCTTCAAGTGCACACTGATGTAAAGAGAATGCTGTAAATTGGATAGGATGAGGAAGTGTCGCTTATCCAGGGATTCCAACTCCTGTTTATGAAATACCTGGAGATTTTGGGGTGTAGCCTGGGGAAGGACCTCTGTGGGTATAATGCCGTGGAGTCTGCCCTCCAGAGCAGCCATTTTCTCCAGGGGAAGTGATCTCTCACACAGGAAATCAGTTTTAATGCCAGGCAATCTCCAGTCCCCACCGGGAGGTTGGCACCCTATGTTTAATGGGGGAAAGCGATACCACAAGGAAATTCTTTAAGCTTAAAAAAAAAATAGGGACCGCATCCCTCCAAGGCTTTGGAGCTTAAAATCCAGAGACACTGTCTCTCCTCCCCGCCATCTTTATTTTGCGTCCCTGCTTTGGGGGTACTTCTAGAAGTAGCTTGAGCTATTAAAAAAACGTCCCTCTCTTTCTGTGTTTGCAAAGAGGCAGAATTTCAGGGGCAGGGAAGCGGTTGCTGCTCCCTCCCCCCCCCAGCGTGTCAGTCTCTGAATGTGACTTTATTTTGCCTTTCCTCCAATTTAGACTGATTCCTCCTTTGAACCAACTGGAGCTCCTGAGGAACCTGAAGAGCAAATCTGGATTGACTTTCAGGTCAGTAGACTTGTTCGGAGGCTGAGGGGAGGAAAAAACAGAAGCAATGGCAGGCGGCCGAAGTGACAGAAAGGTCACAGACCTCGTACGGGTCTTGAGCTTGTGGGACTTTTAAAGTGCTGTCCCGCCTTAGGGGACAACAGCCACCAGGAGAATTCACAAAACTCTGAGGGTGTTAACTTGATTCGACATACAATGCAGCTAAATGCCGATAGAGTAACCCAGGGATATTCAGTGGCTCAGGAGCCACCTGTGACGTTTTGACATGCCACCCGTGGCTTTTGCGAGCAGGGTTCCCCAAGATCCCCCATGTTTCAGAAAAGTGGGCAAGAGACTTGGCCTGGTGGAGACCATGGGCCAGGCCTAGGCGAGGCTTTTGCCTACATGTATTCTGATTGGCCGTTGGAGATTTGATTGGCTGTGCAGATTTTTGAAAAACATTGTTTTGGCGGCAGCTGCCACCACAGCACATGGATCCTCTCTGTGTGGATGAAAGGAAGGTGCATCAGCCATTCTGTGCCTGATTCTGCCTCCTGCGGCAGCCATTTTCTGACAGCCATTTTGTGGCTGTCCCTACCTTACTCTGTCAGAATTTCAGAGATGCCCACAAGCTGAAAAAAGTTGGGGAGCCCTGAAGTAGACAACAATGATCTTGATGGACTGACTGATGGACTGATTCAGTAGAAGGCAGCTTCATGTGTTGCTTCCTTTATGCTGTGAATAAAATCTTAATGTATTCTACCAAAAGTATGCATGCATCCGATACATACATTATATTAACAATTCTGATTTCCAAGTTTTCACCATATATTTGACGATCTTGCAACTATATAACATTTTCTAGCCTAAACAATCTTGCAACTATATAACTTATTTTCTAGCCGAAACGCTCAACAATAATGAATCGTAACACAGTATTTATGGGGTATCTTTACAATCCGGTATTTTGTAGTTACTCTCTATTGAATTGCACACAATCTTTTTGAGAATATATTTTCACTAACAGCCAGTTCTGAGGTGTAGTACTTCAATGTGTCTCAGCTGTTTAATGATCAAAATCCATTCATAAAGAATCCAACAATTTTTGTCGTTATAGGGTTGCTGGATTCTTTATGAATGGATTTTGATTGTTATACAGTTGAGACACATTGAAGTATTACATCTCAGAACTAACTGTTAGTGAGCATTTATTCTCAAGATTGCATGCGATTCAATAGAGAGTAATAGTAAAGGTAAAGGTTTCCCTTGCTCGAAATCCAGTTGAATCTGATTCTAGGGTTGCGGTGCTCATCTCCGTTTCCAAGCCGAAGAGCCAACGCTGTCCGAAGACGTTTCCGTGGTCATGTGGCCGGCATGACTAGACGCCGAGGTGCACGGAACGCTGTTACCTTCCCACCAAAGCGGTACCTATTTATCAACTTGCAGTTTCTTGCTTTCGAACTGCTAGGTTGGCAGGAGCTGGGACCAGAGACGGGAGGTCACTCCGTCATGCAGCACTTGGGTCTCAAACTGCTGAACTACCGACCTTCCGGTCTGCGGTTCAGTGTCTTAATCACTTGAGCCACCGCAGCCCCTACAGAATACTGGATGGTAAAGATACCCTATAAATACTGCGGTACAATTTATTATTTTTGAGGATTTCAGTTAGAAAATAAATTATATAGGTGCAGGGTCCTCAAATATGTGGTGAAAACCTGAGAATCAGAATTGTTAACTTAATGTCATGTATGTATTGGATACGTGTCTACTTTGGGTAGAATACATTTCAGGTTCTATGCAACGCAGTGAGTGTTGTTCTTTTATCATTTAACCCACCACAAACCCGCTTTTGTCAGTTTCCTTTTTCTGCTCACTCGGTGTTATTTCTGCTTCTGTTTAAAGGAAAGAGCCGCAGCCCGAGCCGTCTCCAAGGTCTGTATGTTTCCAGACTGTTCATTCTCATGCCTTCTGACTTTCTTTCTCTCTCTCTCTCTCTTTTCTCTCTCTTTCTACCTTTGTGTTCCCTCGTGTCATGTGCCTGTGTGATGCCCGTGGCGACAAGGGGCGGAGAGCCATTCAAATAAAGCATTGTGGACCTTCGACCCGCTCATCCCGCTCCGTGAGACCTCTGTCCGCGTGTCTCGTACCTTACCCGTTAACGGTGGCCCTTCGATCCTCTTTTCCTCTTCTCCGGTGGCAAATTCGCCGTTTAGCGTGTGGGCCAGTGTAGTCTTGGGCAGGGAGGGAGAGACGAGGTTTACGGCTGCATCAAAATGAAAGGCGGAGAGGCAGCCGGTGTTCCCTCTAAGCTGAGTTGGTGTGAGCCGGCTCACAGTTTTTTAGCCTCTGGCTCACGTATTTTTGTCTTGGCTCAGGACGGATGGCTCCAGAGCAAACCAGTTTATGCAGTAGCCAAATCGCTCGCTCACACTTTTAATGCCAGTAGCTGAGAAACTAGAATCTCTGCTCACAAGACTCCACAGCTTAGAGGGAGCGTTGGATGCAACATAGGTATGCTCAGAAATGGATTGGGGGGGGGAAGACCCCAGGATATAAAGATCCTGCGGAAGGTCTGGTGATATATCTGACTGCTGTTACCCTCTTGTGTTCCCTGAACTGGGGGGGAATCAATTGACAGGGAGGTGCCCGTCATTCTTCCATTCCCGTTCTTCCCTCGCCCATGTTTCTTCCTTTCTTTTGGTCCCAACCAGTGTTCCCTCTAAGCTGAGTTAGTGTGAGCTAGCTCACAGTTTTTTAGCCTCTGGCTCACAGATTTTTGTCTTAGCTCAGGAAGGATGACTCCAGAACAAACTAATTTATGCAGTAGCCAAATCACTCACTCACAACTTTAATGTCTGTAGCTCACAAAGTAGAATTTTTGCTCACAAGACTCAACAGCTTAGAGGGAGCATTGGTCCCAACAGCAGTGAACGAAAGGATCTTCATTACCTGTCAACATTGGTCTCATCTCGTTGTTTCATGGTATGCAGAGAGAAAGGCCGTGGCTCAGTGGCAGAGCGTCTGCTTTGAGTGCAGAAGGTCCTGAGTTCAATCCCCGGCATCAGCTGTATGAAATCGTGGCATTTGAAAGAGCGGAAAACTGATTTTGCCTCCTGAGAGAGGGGGGGGGGAAGGGCCATAGTCAGGGGTCATTTTGTAGAAAACGAGGCGCAGGAGCTCATTAGCATAACTCATTAGCATACCTTATTTGCATATGGCACACCCCCTGATGTCACCGGAAGTGTGTCAGAAGGCAACACCCACCGCTCAGGCTCCACTGGACTGTTTTGGATTGCAGGTGTGACCTTGGGTCCACCCATGGCTATTTGCCATTAAAACTAAATACGGTAGAACCTCCATGTTTGGAAGCAAGGCACCCCTGGATATCAGTGCTAGGGGGCAGCAACAATGGCAGGCTTTGGCCTCTGGACCCTGCTTGAGGGCCTTTTAGGGACATCTGGTTGACCAGTCTGTGAGGCAGGATGCTGGCTTAGAGGGACCACTGTTGTGATCCAGCACAGTTGTTTTCCGTTATATGAAAAGGTCAGTCTTGCAGGAACTGTGTGTCTCCGGATGATCAGGCACTGCAAGTCATAAGCCCAAAGCTACTAGTTCTGGTTTGAAGTTTGTCCTGAATTTAGGAAAGGTGTCGTGGTTTGGGGACCACCAGAAACCTTGAATGATGGGTGAAGGCCCGCTAGTGATTTAGCTGTGTTTACTGCTCCTGGATTAGATTTGAGCCCAGTGGCACCTTAGAGACGAACAAGACCTTTGGGGTATGAACCTTGGAGAGTCAGTACTCCATTAATCAGAGATCAAATGATCTGGAGCTTCGACTCCTAAAAGCTCATACCCCAAACATCTTGTTAGTCTCTAAGGTGCTATTGGACTAGAATTTAGCTCTTCTACTGCGGACTGAAGTCGCCACCCTCTGAAGCTACTTCTGGGTGTAATTGTGTTGCTCCTTGGGAAGGGGGGGGGGATTCTGAGTTTCTAGCCTTCCACTGCAGTTCATTGGCTGCTTGAAGATGATGTGGCAGTTGTATAGAAATATTGATTTCTGAGTGTCTCCTGCATTCTCCTGTTCTGTCTTTTGGTAACAGGCTGTGCCTTATTTCCTGTTACAAGCCAAATGGTAGGCCCCATGGCCTCAATTGCATGCCATAAACCCACATTCTTCACACTTCCATGCTGGAAGCTAGGCCTACATGCAGAAGCTCACGTAGCCGATGGAGAAGCTGGAGTTGGGGGCCATGTGACTGCCGGCGTGGTTTCCAAACTTCCAGTCTATCCCCACTTGTACCCATGACAACCAAAACATTGGCCACACACCCTGCTACTCCTGATTGGCTGATGGCCACAGCTAGTCATGATTAGATTGGGGTTTAATTGTCTGGTCCCTTTGGAGAGAGACTCTCTCTGTCCCTTGCTCTCGTGCTGCGCTCTCTCTGCTCTTGTGTTCTGTTCACCTGAAATGCTGTCCTGCCATGCTGTCTGTTGGAGGGCAAAGGATTGCTTTGTGCCTTAGAGCACATGGAGGGCAAGGAGGGGATTTTCCTCCTCAAAATCCCTTGGTAATACCTGGATTATCACAATGGACAATCTTGAACTCTTGGAAGCTTCTGAATGTGGTAACTATGAATTATTAATGTTTAGTTAAGGCAAAGAGCTCTAGCCTTTCTTGTTTTGAAATCTTATAGTCGAATTGCAGTGCTCTGAACTGAATAAACTTAGTCTTGTTTCTAACTTGTCTTTGATGTTGTAACTGGGATTCCAAGCCTATTTCCTGTGCTTACCTGGCCACACGCTACCATTGAGCGTTAAGTGTACAACTCTGGGAATGAGGTGCTAATGTGTTAAGCCCTAGATGCCAGCTGAGAGATCTGAATCTCTGCTCTGAGCTGGAGGGGATTATAGAATACTGAGAGAGTCTTATGTTCTTATGTTCTTAAATCCAGAGAGGGTAGCCTACCTCTCTGGGTTGTTGTTAATGTATTGAAAAGTATAGGATTCCCCTCTCATCCCTGGACAGGCTTGAGGGGCAGAAACCTATACAGCAGTGTTGAAGATGATGTTAGGCTTGCTAGGGTTAGGTTTGCAAGGGTTAGGGTTAGAGTTACTATAGTTAGGGTTACTAGGGTTAGGGTTGCAAGGGTAAGGGTTAGGGTTACTAGGGTTAGGGTTAGTAGGGTTATGGTTGCAAGGGTTAGGATTGCTAGGGTTAGGGTTAATAGGGTTAGGGTTAGAGTTACTATAGTTAGGGTTACTAGGGTTAGGGTTGCAAGGGTCAGGGTTAGGGTTAGTAGGGTTACAGTTGAAAGGATTAGGGTTGCTAGGGTTTCTAGGGTTAGGATTAATAGGGTTAGGGTTACTAGGGTTAGGGTTGCAAGGGTCAGGGTTAGGGTTAGTAGGGTTACAGTTGAAAGGATTAGGGTTGCTAGGGTTAGGGTTGCTAGGGTTAGGGTTTCTAGGGTTAGGATTAATAGGGTTAGGGTTACTAGGGTTGGGGCTGCTAGGGTTAGGGTTGCTGGGGTTAGGGTTGCTAGGGTTAGGGTTACTACAGTTAGGGTTGTGGTTACTAGGGTTAGGGTTCTGATTGCTATGGTTAGGGTTACTAGGGTTATGGTTAGGTTTACTAGGGTTAGGGTAAGGGTTGCTAGGGTTAGGGTTGCTAGGGTTAGGGTTGCTATGGTTAGGGTTACTAGGGATTGGGTTGCTAGGGTTAGAGTTGTTATGGTTATGGTTAGGATTACTAGGGTTAAGGTTACTAGGGTTACTTTGTGATTCAATCAGAAAGGATCATGGGTCCCACCAAGGACCAATAGGCTGCAGTGGGACCCATGATCCTTTGTAATTGCTCCCCAATGGGGAATTTATTATTGCATTTTTATTAAAACTACAAACTATAACAGAAATAAGGGAGGGGACTACATTTAGGGGATAAAGAAAAGATACCCACTACTGACTAAAAACCCAAGAGAGGAGATCTTCTAATCAGCTTGAATACACATCTAGTCTTAATCATATCAATCTCATTACAAACTGAGTCACATATTCTACTAACTTTTCCCACATCTTAAATTTAACTGACATAAGGAAATACCCCAAAGCATCTCAATTCAAAATTTTTCAAAGGCGCAATTCAGAGTCCTTCAGCCTTCACTTCTTCTTGTCCAGTCTGTTCCACAACTTATAAGGACTTTTAGGAGCTGCTGCCCCTTTCTCTGACAGAGAGTCCTCTCCAGAAGAACCCGAGTCCAGCTCGCCACTGGACTTGCT